TGAGGGTCGGTCGGCCCGAGGCCTGTCCTGTTTTCATGGCTCTGGGCACGTAAACCAAGCCTTTATTTTATTCTTTTCTCCTGAAGTCCAGCTTTGTTCCCGTCCTGGCCAAGGCTTCTAAGAAAGCAATCTAACCCCCCCTCCCCCGGCCCCGGGGCTCCCAGGGGCTGAGCTGTGGGGCAGCGGCTCCACCCGTGCAGGTGGCTTGAGGACACAGGGGCAACAGCCCGGCTGTCCCCTCTCCCCGGGGATCAGACGGCCTCATCACCTTCCAGGAGAATAATGGTCCCTCTCTGGGTGCGCAGCCTGGCCCGCAACCCTAGGGCGCAGGGGCTGGCAGAGACGGGCGGGGGAGGGGGGCGGAGGGAGACACCCACCTGACCACCGCCTCCCGTGCAGGTCACGGCAGGTAGGCATCCTCGAGGTGCCATTTACCGAGGCATTGTGCCAGGCTTGAGCCAAGTGCCTGACGAATGCCATTGCCCTCGACCCTGCGGTGACCGTCCAGGGTAAACCCGACCCCCCTTGACAGATGAGTATCCCAGATGTGGTGCCACCTGCTTGAGGCCACAGGACGTGGACACAAAGTAGTCAGGGCGGGGCTGGCATGGGGTGGGGGGGCGCGTTGGCCTGCTGGGACCCAGGATTCCGACCCAGCCGACCAGGCAGGGCCTGCTTTCTGAAGGGACGGGCTCTGAGGGCCTCACGCTGTCCCCTGCTCTCAGTTTGGGACCTGGCCACTTCCCTGCCCAGCCCCAGGCAGTTGGGGCCCTCTGGGAATTGGTGCCCGGTGCAGCGTTGCTGGTCTCTGCCCACCCCCGCCGGCCTGGGTCCCCCCGCCTCAGCACCAGAGCCCTCGTCTGGCCCAGGGGAGCCTGCCTGGCTTTCTGGGAGACTCCTGGCAGTAGGTGCTGTGGGTCTGTGAAGGGGCCATTTGGGGGGCTCTTCTCCAATGCACCGTCACTGGCCAGCACAGCCCCACACTTGCGGCCCTTCCTGGCATGCCCAACATTTGCCTAAATGCCTAGCCGGCATTGGGCAGGCCCACCCTGCCCTTGTTCAGCTCAAGAGTGGCGCCTGGCAGGCTTCTCGGAGGAGGTGACAAAGAGGCAGAGTCCTGAAGTTGGCGGGTCTGTCCCAGGGAGTGCAGGTGGTGTGCACTGGGGCCTGGGGGCCGAGTCCTGCACCCAGGCCAAGGTTGGCCCTGCCCTCCCCTTCCCTCCCCGGCACAGTTCCACCAGACTTTGGCCTCTGTTTCCCCATTTTGGCCCTGCCTGTGGCCTAGTCTGCCTCCCTTTGTGGCTGCGTGGCATGTGGGGGCTGTGTCCCCCGTCCCCACCCCAAGGCTTCAGCCCCCTCATCTTGAGGCCATTGGACTTCCCCTGCGCCCCAAGAAAAGGAGACCATCCCCAGTCTGGGGGCCTGACGGGGCTTCTGGCAGGGGCTTCCCTGGGTCGGTCTTTCTGGATTTGGATAAAGGTGAGCTGGCAAGGCTGCCCCCCTCCCCAGGGCTGCCCCCCTCCTTGGAGCTGCTGCTCAGGGCAGCCGAGTGGCTGTCCCCCAGGCGACGGCTGACCATGGCCCCAGGACCTTCCTAAGGGCAGTGGGGACCTGGCTGTGAGGGGCGTGTGGCCTGAAGCCCGTCTGCCCGCTGGACTTGCTTCATGCAGCTAGAGGTGAAGGAGGGCTGAGGTCTGGCCTCGCTGCATCACCGGGGCCCTGGGGGGCTGAGGGTCAGGCCCCTGAGTCCCCCGGCCGGCCCCTGCATCCTCAGAGCAGCGAGCGGGGGTCAGTTCTGTCAACGCTGCACCCACAGGGTTTGTCATCCCCTGGAGGGTAGTCCTCAGCCCCCTGCAGGAGGCCCAGAGCCGCCCCTGGAGGAGCCCCTGCTGCTGGCCGCGGGGCGCTTCCCTACACCTGGGTTTCTTCCTGCTCCGTTCCTTCCGCAGTGTTTTATCTGCTCTCGGAAGCTGAGCCGCCGTGGGAATGGGGAGGCGCCAGATGGCCCTTTCTCTCTCTCCGGATGCCACTTGCCGGTGGGAGGGCTGCTGCCTGGCCCCCCCAGGCCCTCCCTGCTCCAGCCACCAGGGTTAGTTGTCAGGGTGGTGGCCCACCTGTGCCGGGGGCTGCAGGGGACCGGACCTCTGACCCTGCCGGTCTGGACCCCCTGTCTCTCTGCAGGTGCCTAAGGTCTTCCCCAGGGCCACAGTTGGTGGCAAGAGGGGAAACCGAGGCTGGGCGGGCCATAGGCGGTGTGAGCCTGGAACAGGACAGGCGGCATGCACAGCACCGCCTCCCCTCCCGAGAGAGGCCCAGGGGCGGTAGGATGCGGTGGGCCCCGCGCGGCAGCCTGGCCTCCTTCGTACCGTCACCGTCACGGGTGGTGACTTTGCTGCCCGCCCGTGGGCATGGGTCCGTCGGGGCTGCTGGTTGCGGCCACCCGGGCCTGGCCCAGCTGCACGCACAGAGTTGTTCTTGACAAGACCCGCGTCGGGGGTTGGGGGACAGGGTGACTTCCCTGGGCAAGTGGGATGGGGTGCGGGCTGCACTAGTTGGGCCTGACTGCCCCAGGGACCCAGGGAGAAGTGTGGAGGCCGAATGGGGCGCTGCGGGGCGCTGCGGGGCCCCGGGCCTCCTCTCCCACTTCTTCCCCTTCACCCCCTTCCCCGGCTTCTCGTGCTGCTTTTCTCATCGCCCCTCCTGCCCCCCGCCCTGGGCTCCCCAGCCTCATGCAGCGCTGCACCGTCTGCCCCGCCCCCTCGTCCCAGCCCGTCCCTTTCCATCCCCCACCCCCTTCTCCCCGACACCCACCATCCCCTTGGCCCTCCTCACCCCGTCTTCCTGCCCCTGCTCCCCCAGCCCCCTGCCCTTGGGCCCCTTCCCCCGTCCCCCACCCCGTGTCCCCTGCCCCTAACCCTCCTGTCCCTCCCCTCCCCCCCCCCCTGGGTCCCCCCGCCCCTTCCCCCGTGCCCCCCCTGTGCCCGGCCCCCGCCCGCCCGGGAGGAGTTGGGTGGCTCTGCCAGCCCTGCAGACTGTTTGGAATAGTTTAAATGCTTTGACACTCGGGCTCTCCTGGATGGCAGAGCGGCAGTTTACTGGGTAATTCACATGCAGAGCTGCACCATAAATCTCGGGCGCTCAGTTGCCGTGGCACCACGGAGCGTTTCCCCACGTACAGTACAGTATTTCTGCCATCTTTGTTTGCATTGCGGTGAGTCATCAAAGTCTGTCTTGTACCAACACCCGGAGCCGTGCATTCCTCTGGCACCGGCACTCCACTGTTTTTAAAGCTGGGGCTGGAGCTGGCATTTACTTGGGCTCCGAAATCAAAGGCGGCTATTCATTCCCGAGAGCTGCCTGAATGTCCGTCTGCATCCGGCCTCTTCATTTAGATGCTGTGCGCTGCCCCGGAGAGCCGGGCTGGGTGCAGCTGAGCTGCGGCCGCCGAGCCCAGCGCGGAGACTCTCTGCCCTCCTCCCCCTCCTCCTCCTCCTCCTCTCCCCCCTGGCTCCTCGCGCCCTCCCCACCCCAAGGGCTCGCGCTCCGTTTGCTGCATTCCCGGAGCAGCCAGCGAGCCTGCCCCTGCCAGGCTGAGCGGGCAGTGCCGGGCCACCGGCAGCAGCCTCCAAAGGTAGGTCTCCCCTGCAGGCCGGTGCGACGGCCGGCCCGGCAACTTCTCTGCAGCGGGGGCACTGCGGGCCCTCCCCCAGCGGCCACCCATCTGCCCAACTCCTGTCGCCGGGGTCCAGGCGCTCCGCCCTCCCTCCGCCCTCCCTCCCCGGCCGCCCGGCGCCTCTGCGGCCGCCTGCACTTTCCTCCCGCGGGACAGAGCAGCCCTTTGTGCGGGCGCCGCTGTGCGGAGTTGGGCCGGCGCCTTCTCCGCCCGGCCGTCCCCAGCCCCCACCCCCCCGTGAACCGGGCATCGGATCAACCTCGCTGGAGCCCCGTCCCCCAGCCCCTAGGGCGCCCGGTGGCGGCAGAGGGAGCGGCATCCCGAGCCCTTGCCGGTCCCTCCCCCGTCTCCCCCTGACCCCTTTAGTCACCTGGGCTGGGACCGAGCCAGCAGGGATTGGCCAGCGTGGGGAGCTGGGGGACTGGGAGGGCGGGCAGGTGGGGCTGCGCCAGACTCCCCGCTGCTGGTCCGGCCGGGTCCCGGCCCGTGGCCTGGGGAGCTCGTCCCGGGGGAGGGGCAGTGGGGCGGGCGCCTGACTTCGAGCTTCCGCTAACTTGGCTCACTGCCCTGGGCGCCCCCACCCCTGGCCATCCTCTCTCAGCCACTGGGCGGGACTCCCCCTGTGTGGGCCCTCCGTGCAGCTGGTGCTACAAGGGAAAAGAAGAAAAACAAACCAGAAACCAAAAGACCCCCTTGCAAGACCCACTTGCTCGCTCTGGGTTCCGGCCCCCTCAGGGGAAGGGCTGGGAGGGGCTCCTTTGCTGCTAACTTTTTCTTGGGGAGAAGAGTTTGCAGACACGGCCCGCCACCCTCACCCCTGGCAGCCGCCGCGGGTGGCGGTGCCCTGTTCCGTGTTCTGTCCTCTGTCCTCCCCGTCCTCCCGGAGTGCAGGCCTCTGTTTCTGTTCCTGGCGTCTGCTAAGACGGGGCGTCCCTGCCCGAGGGCTCCGGCACTCTCCTGGGGGTGGGCTCTGGGAGCTGCACGAGGTGTTGGGGGCACGCCCCTGGCTGGAATGCGGCTGTGCAGCTCTGAGCCCAGCCAGGGTCCCGCCGCCCGCCGTGAGGAGCTCGGCCCCAGGACCTCCCCTGGACCCCTCGGCTGGAGGGGTTCCTGCTGGAGGGCCGGGGGGGGGGGGGGCACCGCGTGGAGGAGGGGTGGAGGAGGGCATGGGCACGCTGGGGCGGAGCGCATTTGCATACCCTTGGTGGGTGGGCCCTGGCGTCTAGGGGCCTGACCAGGTGTCCCCATGCCCTCTCTCCCCACAGATGTGCCCCACTCGGGCGCTCCCGCGCTGAGTCTGAGGCCCGCCCTCTAGCGCCTGCCCGCCATGTCGCAGATGCTGCACATCGAGATCCCCAACTTCGGGAACACTGTGCTCGGCTGCCTCAATGAGCAGCGCCTGCTGGGCCTCTACTGTGATGTGTCCATTGTGGTCAAAGGCCAGGCTTTCAAGGCCCACCGGGCCGTCCTGGCCGCTAGCAGCCTGTACTTCCGCGACCTGTTCAGCGGCAACAGTAAGAGCGCGTTCGAGCTGCCGGGCACCGTGCCGCCCGCCTGCTTCCAGCAGATCCTGTCCTTCTGCTACACGGGCAGGCTGACCATGGCGGCCAGCGAGCAGCTCGTGGTCATGTACACGGCCGGCTTCCTGCAGATCCAGCACATTGTGGAGCGCGGCACAGACCTCATGTTCAAGGTGAGCTCGCCCCACTGTGACTCGCAGACCGCCATGATCGAGGACGCCAGCTCTGAGCCCCAGAGCCCCTGCACCCAGCTGCAGCCGGCCGCCCCTGCAGCCCCCCCCTACGTCGTGTCCCCCTCCGTGCCCATCCCACTGCTGACCCGTGTGAAGCATGAAGCCATGGAGCTGCCGCCGGCCGCCGGCCCAGGCCTGGCCCCCAAGCGCCCACTGGAGACGGGGCCCCGGGATGGCACAGCGGTGGCGGGCGCCACGGTGGCGGGCGCAGCCCCTCTCAAGCTGCCCCGGGTCTCCTACTACGGGGTGCCCAGCCTGGCCACCCTCATCCCCAGCATCCAGCAGGTGCCCTACTCCCAGGGGGAGCGGACCAGCCCGGGGGCCAGCAGCCTGCCCACCACCGACAGCCCCACGTCTTACCACAACGAGGAGGATGAGGAGGATGACGAGGCCTACGACACCATGGTGGAGGAGCAGTACGGCCAGATGTACATCAAGGCTACCGGCAGCTACGCAGGTAATGCGCCGTGCGGGCCTGGCCACGGGTCCCGACCGCGCCCCCTGCCCGTGCGTGTGGGCGCGCCTCCAGGCCCTGTGGGTACCGAGGCGAGCCTGACCTCAGCCCTGTGGCACTGGCAGCCTGGCCGTGGCCGCTCGGGGAGGCCGCTGTGCCAGGGAGTGGAGGGGATGGTCCCCAACCTAGCCTGGCTGAGCTAGAGGGGCAGGGCCTTGGCTGAGGACCGGACGCTTAACGCTGGGTGGAAACCCCCCCAGGAATCCACAGCCTGTGGGACGGGGCCCGCTCTTGCACAGGTCACAGAGGACACTGAGGGCCTCAGTGGCCCAGGGGCCTGCCCGAGGGCTCACAGGGTAGTGTGCAACCCACCTGCTCAAGACCTTAGTGACCCGGTGTGGCCCAGTCTGCCTGACCTTCGACCTCAGCCCTTCCCTGTGACTGTCAGCGAGGCCAGAGACTCCCCCATACCTGGCTCATGTGCCTCCACCTCCCTGGGTCCAGCGCTGAGGGACAGGCCGGAAAGTGCTTGTTGAACTGAATGAGCTGCCCCCCGTTATTTGTGAGGGGTCCCCCACTGGGGGCCTGCACACCCGAGATGCCCCCACTTAACATGGTGTTACAGATCGCATCTCAGTCCCTGGAGACCATTGAGGGTCTGCTAGGTAGAGGGTCCAGTAGTTGGGGTCCCGGATCGGGTGTCCACCTGCCTTCCGTGTTCCCCGAAAACTGGCTGTGCGCCTGGGCCCGCTGCCTGCTCATTTGCATGCAGGGCCCGTGCCCAGTGCATTGGCTCTGGACACATGGTGCTAGCGGGAAGTGACGTCCCAGAACTGGGGCCCCCAAGGGGCAGTGTGGTGACTCTTTCCTCCCCTCTGTTCCCCTATGTCCTGGTGCCCTGATGGGGCAGATGCTGCCCCCTCCCATCTACTCCTCCACCTCCAGGCCGGTACTGGTCTATCCGACCAGCTGGGGCCCTTGGGATGGCCACTCCCCGAGAGCAGCCAAGGACTGGATGGTGTGGCCAAGTCGGGGGGAGCAGGGAGGCTCTGCCTGGGGCGCCCGCCTGCCCTCAGGGGCTGTGAGTGAATGATTTTTCCCTAGAGCTCATTATTTGAATGTACGTGGTCATATTGAGTGACTTCCACAGGACACGAGCATGAAGACCACGTTGATCTGGACTTGGTTCTTCTTGGAGTGGCAGAGGGAAAGGGTTGGTGTCCTGATACCAGGAAACCTGCAGGCTCTGGCTTGGCCCTTCAGAGGGCCCACTGGGCTTGGGCCTTACGGGGGCCTCTGGGAATGTGCCCCGTGTGGAGCTTCCTCTGCCCACTGCTGATGGCCACCTCAGGACCCGGGGAAGGGCCATGTGGAGCCCCAGACCCAGCCAGAGGGAGCTGGAATCTGCCAACGGTCCAGGGGCAGGGGCCGTCCACCAGTGGCCCACAGTGGGACACCGGAGCTGGGAGAGAACCCCAGCCTTCAGACGTCTCCATCCAGTGTGGCCATGAGCCTTGGCAGGAGTGGGAAGCTGAGAAATAGGAGGAGGTGTTGGGATTGCTGGGTGCAGGTGCAATGCCATAGCCCATCTGAGTACACCTGCCCGTCCAGCTGGACGAGTCTGGAGCCCTCTCCTAACCTGGATAGTGGCCTGTCTGTGTCCTTGGGTTTTCCAAGGAGCCAATGGGACAGTGGCCATGGAAAGGCCAGGATAGGGGTTGGAGGCTGAGCTGCCCGGGGCTGCCCCTCTGTCTCTTGACCATGACCCAGCTTTCTCAGCAGCCCCCCACCCTGACCCCCCCAGCTCTCAGACAAGATGCCAGGGGCACAGGCCTGGCCCAGGGCCATGTGCCTGCAGGGGGTCACCCATCCATCAGTGCCCCTTACCTCCTTCTCCTGGGGGTGTTGGAGGGAGGATGGGCAACGGGAGAGGACAGTGGGCACGGGAGGGCAGGGCTTGGGGCCGGCTTGGGGTGCTACAGTCTGGGTTTTCTCCTCGGTGAGACCATAAGTGGGGCAGGGAGGGGGGGTGTGATTTCTTGGTTAAAATCTAGGTTATTGGCAGTGACGTCGCTGGCATCACTGGGCGCCGGGTGAGCTGGGAAGAGGGTTGTGGGGGAGGGGGTCGTGGGGGCAAGCAGGCAGAGAGAGGGGCCTGCCCTCAGAGGCTGTCTGCCCGCACCCCGGGCTCCCTCTGCACACTGGCTTGGCCAGGTTGGGGGACATCCTAACAGCCCCCCAGGCCGCTGAGCAGCCTGCTGCCTCCAGTCTGGGGCCCGGACACGGGTTGGGCAGGCCTGTCTTTGAGCTGGTGGAGTGTGTTCCAAGGTGCCCCCCTGCCATATAAGGACATGCGGGAGTCCCTCCTTCTTCCTGGCCTGTTTCCCCACCTGTCAAGGGAGAGGTGGGCCCGAGTGACCTTCAAGGGTCTTGACCAGCACCGTCTGTGTAGGAAGGTGTGGGACGCCACAGGGGTGCCCCCCAATCTCCACCCTCCACCTTGTGAAGAACCATTAGTAGCTCCTGGGTGTGAGTCTCTTGTTTTGGAAATCAAGGAGTTAAACATGACAGACGAGGTTAGTTGGCCGTCCCTGGTGGTCCCACTGTGCTCCCACGGGGCCTGTGCCCCCGTGTCTCCTGCACCTCCTTGTCCATCGTCCTTTGGGCGGAGACACCAGAGCTGATTTATCTAGTCCCCGAGGACACTGGGGTTGTTTCTGATTTGTTGCTCTTAGGACTAAGTGACCAGGAAGGTGCTGAGTAGGGGCAGCAGGTGTCGATAGGGTGGGTCAGGCTCCCTCCCCTCTCTCCACAGCTCCTGGCTTGGGGCGGGGTCTCCTCGGGGGCTCAGGAGGCCCCTGCTCTAGGAGCGAGGCACTGCCCCGTCAAGGTGGTGGGGGTTGGTGTTGGTTTGGGGGTGGGCGGGCACAGAGGGCAAACCAGTGTGGTGAGGGGTCTGCTCCCACAGGCCGTGAGCAGTGGTGGCCCAGACAGGGAGACAGACAGACAGCAAACAAGACCTTGAACAAGTATTTAATCTTGGCTGGGGGTTGTCCTGAGGCAGGACGGGCTGCCCCTGAACCCCCGGGAGTGACGCTCAGGGCCAGGGAGAGTGAGCTGACCAAGGGTGTGGTGGGAGGGGGCTCCCTCTGCCGTCTCTGCGGTGGGGTGAGGCTGGCCTGAGGGGCCACCTTCTGTGCCTCTGCCCCGCTGCCAGGCTCCTGTGGCACCTTCTGCTGCAGGCCCAGCCCCTCCTTGGTGTGGGCAAATGTTGCTCCTGCGGATGTCAGAGACAGAGGCACCCCGAGCCGGGCACTTCCACCTTCACCTGCTCCCAGGAGGGGACCCCTGTGGGCTGCTGTCCCGGGGTGTTTGGTGGCTGTGGGCTGCTGTCCCGGGGTGTGTGGTGGCCATGGGCGCCGTCCCGGGGTGTGCGGTGGCCGTGGGCTCCGTCCCGGGGTGTGTGGTGGCCGTGGTTGCCGTCCCGGGGTGTGCGGTGGCCATGGGCGCCGTCCCGGGGTGTGTGGTGGCTGTGGGCACCCTGTCTTGCTCCCGCCTCCCTCTGGGGGCCGGCTGGCTCCCCTGGGTCTGCCCATTGTCCCGACACCGGACACGGGTTGGGGTCCTGGCACGCAGCAGCACATCTGTTCCCGGCTCTGCCCACTGCGAGCAGTAGCTGCAGGTGGCCCCTGTGAGCTCCGGAAGGAGTGTGCACGCTCTGCCCTGGACCAGGCCCTGTGCAGCGTCACCCATGAGGTCGGTGCTGTGTCGACCCGCAGCTGTCCACCCCTCCACCCCTCCCCTGCCTGTCGGCCGCTCCCACCTGCAGCCCAGCTGCCTCTTGGGGGTCTCATAGAGAAGGGGAGAGGTAAGGTTTGTTCTGCAAATCCTAATCCCAAGCAGCTCTCACAGCTTCCCGGCGGGGGTGTCCACACTGCTGGAGCTCAGCCCCACCGCTGGCAGGGCCCAGGGAGCAGCAGGGGCTTTTTGTCCCTGGCCTGGCGAGGGTGGGGCCCAAGTAGAGGTGGGGTGGGCTCCCTCCCTTTGAAGGCAGCACAAGGGAGGTGCTGGCCCTGGTGTGCCTCACCCTTGCTGGCCCTGGGGTGTTGGGAGGCCCGGCAGTGCACTCCACCTGCGGTTTGGGGCTCGTCCCCAGGAGCCTCCGGGGTGGCCTCCCTGGCTCCCCGGTCCTCAGTGTCTCCTGTCTCAGGTAGAGGACAAAGCACGTCGTGCGACCTCACGCGTAACCCTCCACCCCGAGGACTCCGGGGTTTCCTCCTACGGCTGTTACTGAGGTCTCACTTCTGTGCCTCCGGGAAATGGGTGTGAAAGGCCCCTGAGTCTGGGCTGTGACAGCAGAGCACGGCCACCCACCCGCCCCCCACAGCCTCCCAGCTGCCCTCTGTCCCTTGGGATGCGTTTGCCCATTCTGGAACATCAGGTGAGCCATTGTGTGCTATGAGCTCCCGCTTCTCTTGTCGGCAGAATGCGCGAGGGGCTCGTCTGTGCTGCGTGGGGCAGTCCCTCTGTTCCCTCCCCTGCTCTAGTGCTTAGTCAACCATTTCTATGTAGTAAACCAGGCCCGTTCCAAGGGTGATGAGTCTGGTGGTTGGAATCAGTCCACTACCGCAGTCAAAGTGGCACAAGATACAGAACAGTCTACCTCCCGTACAGTGTCTCCTGGGTCCTCCTGCCCCACCCCTGGCCCCCAGCAGCACCTGCCCCCCCGGCTTTCTGTCCCTGCCACCTTGCCTTTTCTAGAATCTTTGCAAATGGCATCATACTGAACGGAGTCTTTCCTTTTTCTCGCCATGTTTTGCATTTCACGCATGTGGTGTTGGTCCTCGGTCGCCTTGGTCGCAGCTGTGGACGTGGCCCCCGGTGGCATATGTGTGGGTGGCCTCTGGAGGGGGGCTGTGGTCATCAGGCGGCTGCGAACATCCACGTGCCTGTGGGACTGCTGGGTCACATGAGGAGCGCGTGAGTTGCGCCCCACTGCCGCA